TTCTCAAATAATTGAAGTATTTGGAAGTTATTCATTAATTGTATTCTGTCTTTTGGAATAGAATACGGTAGGGGAGAATTTCGGGATGCTTATTGTATTAATTCTGTCTCAGATATGGTCTCTAGTCCCCTTAAACTTAAATTAAATAGAAAAATATTATGGTCGTTTGTTTCATTTAGTTTCTTCGACAATTTAAAATGATTTCGAATATACTTCAATAAACTGACAAAATATCTAACCATATCATGAATGTTTGTAATTCCTAGCAGCATAAATCCTGTTACTCTTGAAATAAGGCAACAATAGTGAGAAGTACCTTTCATCAATAAGTTCTGCTATTCGAACTTTCTAAGATTATTTTGACTAAACCAATTGGACTTTATATGAGATTTGGTAATTTTCTATGGTTGATATTGTCTCATGACATCTATCTGCAGATTTTATTGTTTAAGTATACGTAACTAGCAGTGAAATACAAGGAGCAAGTTTCGTCCCATTTAGGACTCGTCGACTCTCGTATGTATCTGCATCGCAGTGTTTATGTTCACATTGAGACTTAAGTATCAACGATGAGCAATTACATACGCTTATTCATCATTTCTTTAGACCGCTTTGAACAAGTCATTAGCTTAATGGTTAACATGTTCCCCGATTAAAACGATAGCTACTTTGTTGCAGTCTAGATGTGAACATTTGTATACATTGAAATTCATGCGCGTCAATCCGATAAGCCTCCAAATCAGACGAAAATTGCTTCTTGGATTGTATTCCACCGCTAGTCGTATTACTATATCTGCTAAAGCAGATAGATGACAGTGGGTCTGTCGACAATTTTCTGTCATAAGAATGTTGAATTTGTTTACTGTAATATATCTCACGTAGCACAACTTCATCATTCCAGTTATAATTCTGATTGTTCAATGTTTAAATAAATATTAATTTTTCTTTGAAACTTTCCAGATCATTCTATCATCCACAGCGCTTATTGCTCTATCCAGTAGAATTATATCCATCGGAAAAATTATACACTTCTCATTATTGTCACTCATTTACTTCAATTCTATCATCTGATAAGAATTCATTCTTAATTAACAAACCGAAACTATTGTTACAGTCTATTAACGACTTTATACAACTTGATTTGTACACATCTTATAGCGTAAATTTTATATGCGTCATTATACTACTTATAGTAGTTTGCTATTTTTGTAAACATTGTATCATGTACTTTAGTAACAGTATATTATATGTAACAGGATGGATTCTCTCTATGATTCGATATATGCTTGTGCGTATTCTATTTGGTTTGTATAATTTATGGCGTGTACATATCAGCGATTTTTCAAAAAAGGTATTCAGCAAAGTATATGCTACTAATAATTCTACTGGTAGTAGTAGTAGTACTACTGCTGAAACATCACGATTATCACTTTCAATAGTTCAGAAAATTAGCCAACAGAACAGATCTAATATACATGTATGTGTACATGGATGACAAATGATTAGTTGGTGTGTGAATTGCATATTTCTGTACTGATCGATTACAGTTTTGTGTAGGTCCAGCGGCTCAATGTTCCAATAATTAACTTCATCCACGTATTGTATTTAAATTCAGTTCATTCGTGTATCTCTTTTTCTCTTTCATATTTTCAGCTATTTTGTAAATAGAAATGTATTCGGTACAAATTGATACTTGTTTTTCATACTATTACGATATATCGTAATATTCAGTATTCCACTGAGAGTAAAAATATTTCTTGCAAGTATTATGCATTTATTCATCAATCAGTTATCATCAGCACAGAATATGGGAAATATTCGAAATTATTTTGATACGATGATGTGTTGTTGATTGTGTAGGTCTAAGTCTCAGATTCACTGGAATGACGCTATCGTTTGTTGAAAGTAAGAAAGCCGTTTTGGATTAGAAGAGCGTGTTAATATACGGGTTACTCAACAGGATCAGTCTTATTTGTATTAATGATGTTATTGAGTGAGAACTTAAGGCTTTAAAAGAAATGCTAACGAAGAATGATTATTCATTAAATTATATAAATCAACCTATAGGTAGCAGTATTTTGTGTCCCATTAAGTTTCGGCAACCAGAAGACTTACGTTTATCACCCTAACCTTCAGAGGTAAATTTAATAATATTTAATTGAAATGAAGGCTCTAATTAGTGTTGAGAAGGACATTTCACGTAATGCAACTCACGATTACTAAAAGGTCATAGTCTTTATTTCACCAAAAACAAACAACGCGTGTACGATTTAATTTGTCCTACAAATATTCTGTTGAATCTGTATACGAGATACTGGCGACCCCAGAGTCTGTGTGAAAGCTATAGAGTCAGAACAGGCACAACTCGGCATTAAACATTATCTGCTTCTTAACACAAACAAGCACCTATAAATAGGGAGGAGCAATCATGATCTGCAAATAATAATGATTGAACACCTGCTCAAGTGACTACAAAATGAAAAAAATTCCAGTGATTAAATAAGAGGATAGGATGGACAAATATCTTCTTCCATTAACAAATATTTAGTTAAGTCGGGTCGATGGGTTTATTTTCATAGTTGAATCCATGAGTCGATGTAAGCTAGACCACCAACGAAACTCTGGGAGCTCGGGACAGGCGTTCCGTCCTAGTATGGGACTCCTCAGCGGTGCGCTTACACGATACTGGACGCGGGATTCCAACAATCTAGTCTACTGAGCCGGGATCTAACGGTGTTCATGTCCAGTATTTTATGGACTACTCAAAGTTCATGTCTTCACATTCTGTTGATTGAGCTTCACTTCTCGATATTCTTCAAAAATATCGGTAGTATAGGCACATGTTCATTTATTTTCTCCCATAAAACCAATTTTCTCACTCTCTTCATACACTTATTCGAAGATTTAAATTCCTCTGTTACAGAAATTTTTCGCGCTTATTTCGTTTTGTGCCGTTCATTGTTTGAAACTATTTATTTTAACTGATCCACCTTCTGGTTTTCTCGAACTACTAAAACCTACAACCTACATTTAAATAATTGTGCTTCCTCCTGGATTATCACTTGGTACGTCGATCTTATCTTATTCTCCAATTCGAATGACGGATCTCTAGATAGATGTGGTTTCAGCAGCGAAAACAGCGAATTGACAATTTGTGAAGCCGAATTCCAGTGTATTATGACATAGAGTGTGGATACTGTGACTAACATTATGCAGCCATTCATACGTATCATTGTATGAAGTTCAAATAACTGCTAAAAATTAAGTAAGATTATTTCATGTTGATTTTGGAATTAAGGTTAACGTGTATTTGGAATACAAAATACTTGACGATTATGATAAAAACTTTTATTCAACAGTGTTTTTACATCTAAACTAATTAATCAAAAAAAGAAACGGAATTCGCGAGTGTATCTGAAAAACAATAAAGTAAGAATTAATTATACTTAAATTATTCATGTTAATCGAAGAATGAGCTAACGACGGTGGCTTTCCCACCCAGAAGATCAGTGTAGTAATTCATACTAGAAATATGGTTGTTGGTCCATATTGTTCCTCCATCAACACGTTAGTTTACCAAATCTGGCCCCCAAATGCCCTGGTACGGCCGAGAGTGGGGAGAGTCCGCTCTCCCTCTCGAAATGCTCTCACACGGCCACGCCTATATAGCTTCTGCAGGGAAGTCCTACTCACTGCCTTCTCGTGGCGGGGGGTGTTGTTCCCGAAAATGGGAGGACGAAAAGCGAGTGTCTGGCGCTTTAACCGGATTCCAAACCAATGGTGCACATGGGCTCCAGTATCCCGCGGGAACAAGTGGCGTATGAACCAATCGTTGGTCACCGGCTACCATGAGACTGCATCTCCTTACGATGCTCCATTACCTTGTGGATCAGACCTTCTGGTCGAAGGCTCGGGGTGTGGCCCACTAATAAAACCACCTGTTTCAGTCTGGGCACCCGGGCAGTAATACAGCCCTCACACACATCGAATGAGATTTGTGTGGCGCATATATATTTGGTGCCTCCTTGTACCAATATCTATGTGTTAAAATATATAAGATAAATAAATAGTTTACCAAGGAAACCGTGAGTGAAAATGAAACTATAAATTCTAAATACTTAGTGCTTTGTTCATGTATCTGGAGCTACCGTTGAAATTATTTTGATGAAACATTAGTTCTTAGTATAATAGTAATCTGTTGAATAATGCTATACACCATCCTTCATTTTCTATTACACCTAACTGCATTCTTGAGATTTCTTTCAAGAAAATATCTGACTGGTTCGTACCTATATAATTTGAATGCATTCAGAACAAATGGGGTTTTCGGACGCTTTGTGACTCAAAGTAACCCAATTCTTCAGAGAATAAAAAACCTAAGTTGGTCAACCCAACTTCAAATGGTAGAAAGGAATAATGCTAGCCACCATTTATCCCTCCTTAAAATGCTTGTGACTTAAGATAGTATCAAAGCAATACGAACACGATGCTCATGTGCCAATATAAAACTGGTCAATTGCAGTCCTAAACATCAACGATAAATTTCAAACGGACAATACGAAATGAATTAAAACCTCACTCCATTGAACAGACTAGTGACTTCCTAGACACGGTAGGTTAGTGGATAACGCAATGGCGTTTGAAGCCAATCCCGGAGTGAACGTCAACTACGAGATGCAGTTAGATCCAGATGACAAGTCCCAAGTAGGATGAAACGTGCAACCAAGATTCCACTGATAGCCACCACCCACTTATACACATCTCTTCACAAATTGTTGTATACAGCTGATGAGAACCCACGAAATATGATGAATTCATATTATTCCACCTCAATAATTTTTCTGACTTTATTCAAATTCATATAGGTTACCAATTGCATGAAATTTGTAATTACTGTATATTAATAATACTGAACACTAGAAATTTTCTGAACAATTAAATTTACTTAATAAATTGAGTTATTCATGCTCTTACGCTACCAAACCATTCTTGTCCTTGGATTAATTTCGATTTTTAAATCGACGATCTCCTAGAGAATGATATAAATGTACATAGGTAATCAGCAGGATTATATACTTGCAGACAAATTACATCTATGGAATATAATGATAATTAATAAGATATTGATAAGACTATTGTTAACACCTAACAACATATAATGCTACATGAATTGACGAAGCCTATGACCATCAGTGAAGAGATCTGGCAATATCATATTCGAACCGTGGAAGAATCAGAGTCAGTAGTACAGAAAAGTATGGAGTTCTGAGTAGTTCACATCAAAAACAAAGTTACTTTAAGAAATCAACGCAAATCCATGCAATAAACGTACAGAAGGGGTAATGTTAAGCATCTCTTCTATTCAAATGTCACAAGGTCACTGAAACACTCACAAATATGGAGTGTCATCTTTCTTTGTTTGATGGCCGATACGTTAGGCACTGAGATATGGTGGAGGTGTAGTTTCTAGCACTATGTCAAGCCCATATGTCACTCTAGATTCCGGACAGAACAGTTTGTTCATTTTTCTTGAGCCACATTTTGACCTTGTCAATTATTCGCATGTTAACACTTCGACTGCTTTTAATGAGCGTATGTGTGTACATACGCTCATCCCTTTTCATTACCACATTAGTTTATATTTGTCCGGTTATAAATATTCAGTCACGTTTTATCAGAACCAGATGACTTCCTCGCTCTGATTTCCCACTTCTTACTCTGCATGTCTGTCTGGATAAAGTGGTGCTTGAAATAAATTCATCCAACGAAATCCGTATTCGGCCTCTTGTTACGACCTTCACACAAACGGGGTTAATCTAGGTAATATACGGAGTCAAATTTTTGATTTATGTTCATGGCAGATTTAAACGTTCATCCAAATTAGAGTCAGATCAATAGGTCATTAAACAGCTACTCCGATTATTAGGGTTCTTCTATTTACTCTTGAGGGTTTATAATTGGAAGATTATGGAAATCTGTGTCAAGATGATCAGTTGGGAGGTGTTTCAAATGTACGCGATTGTGTTCAATCTGTTTTGTCTAATGAAATGGAATCTGAAATATTGAGTGAAAATTTGACAACGTATGTGGATAGATATTTGAAGCATACTGTTGGAACACATGTAAGTGTCGTGTCAATTACTAAACAGATACATCTTATCGACGATTGTATCAACAAACGTATGCATCCTTCCTCTTTTAAATGTTTAACACTCCGGAATCCGTGTTGATATTCACTCATAATCTCGTAAGAGGTGATGCACATGATATCTGTGTTATCACATCATCCAACGTCAATATATTGGAATGTAAAAAAAACTTACAAACATGAACTTAATCTCATCACATTTGCCTCTACAATCAACATGGATGTCAAAAATTCAAACGAATTCAAATATACGATCTGATTATTATACTAGGATTTCGTGCAATCGCTTTTCTATTAGTTGCTGCGTATCTCAACGGTTCAACGTTATGCTAAGCCAATGTCGTATTCTAAATTATATTCACTGGTGCATAAGGCCAATCCCACGACTTTACGGTGAAAGTTCAAAGGCGTGCAGCAAGAGTGAATTCGACGTCGGCCGAAAAAGCTTATCGTGATCAGCTCAGTAGGTCTGCATTGCCATATATAGTATCAGAAAAACGTAATTTTGCACGGAGGAAAGTCATCTATGATTATTGAATCTCTAAGACACTGAGAATAACCTGCAGTGGTCGATCACATTAGTAACTAATAATCTATAATGTGTTCATATAAGAAACCAAAGAAATAAATTAGATTACCATATTTGTCAGAAAGTTGAAATCCTAGAGCATTCCCAATCACTAAAAAAACAAAATTCCATGACAATTAAGATAACCCACATAAATCGTATATAATATTATAAGCGAACGGATCAATTCTTCAATCCAACTAGATCTGACAACATATGATATGATGTGCGTCATTGGGAATATTTATTCACGATTTCCAACTTCACATGGAATTGTGCTTCTTCAAGCAGTCATGGCTAACCTGCTACTTGATTTCAGAGAGGGCATGATGACACACATCAATTTTATACATGCTATACACGACCATTGAATCGCTCACAAATATTGTAAGCCATCTATCAATGTTCGGTGTCAAGTAAGTAGGATACTGATGAATGTTGACAGTATTTACATTATGAAAGTTCGTCTGATTCCCTTAAGAGGTTCATGAGTGAAATATTGTGAGAGTCGTTATCTATGTGCTCACTCCAAAGCTGTTTCATGTGTACACGTATATGTGACGCTGTCATATCCACTGTAATGGAATTCCTATTCATAAGTGAGGATGTGACAAAGCATGTAAATCGGTATTTAAAGTGAATTCCTGAAACATATATGGATGCCGCATTGTCTCCATCACAATCGTAGTCGTGTAGTTACAAGCGATATTCAAGTCATTATGCAATCAGTTATCAGAAAAAAGTAAAAACCATATAATCGCGACATTCGGTCAACATTCGCTTATCGGTAGAAATATCCACTGTACCATCTGGAACATTGTCATCTACAAATGTCGGAACAAACAACACTCAGTTCGTGTTCATTCTTGTTATCGCGTGTTTACGTCGAAAGCATTCACTTTACAACCATTTCGGTAGTTAAGTAGCAGACAACTGACGCATAATTACAATTCAATGCATCGAGAATAAACTTAAAAATCGGTAGATTTGTCCGGTTTATAACCAATTTTGTGGTTATCCATAAAACATATGAACTCTCATAACTTGCTGATCGTCACCAATTTCCCAATAGCATCTCCATACATTATATCAATAAGCGTAGCCTACATTTGTCAGAGAAAGGAACGAAAATGGTGAGTGATTTGCAAACCTATGTGCCTTCAATAAACTGGTCATAGGCAGCACCATATTCTCACATAAACGGATTCACAAAGCCACATGGACTTCACCGGATCACACTACACAAAACCAAATCGACCATGTCTGCATCAACAAAAAGTTCAGTAGGATTATGGAAGACGTGAGAACCAAGAGAGGAGCTGATATAGCATCAGATCATCACTTGCTGGTCGCCAAGATGAAATTGAAACTAAAGAAGCACTAGACAATGGGGCGGACAACATCACAAAAGTTCAATACGGCCTTTCTTCAGGATATTGAAAAACCCAACAAATTCAAGATAGTCCTCAGCAATAAGTTCCAGGCCTTTCATGATCTACTCAATGGAGACGGAATTAATATGGAGAGCAACTGGAAGGCGGTCAAAGAGGCAATCACTTCAACATGTCGTCAGGCTCTAGACCACAGGAAGCACCATCACAAGGAATGGATCACTGTTGATACACTGGATAAGATTCAAGAAAGAAGGAACAAGAAGGCAGCAGTCAATACCAGTCGAACAAGAGCAGAAAAAGCCAAGGCACAAGCTGAATACACAGAAGTAAACAAACAAGTGAAAAAAGCATTAGACCTGACAAACGTAAATATGTGGAAGATCTAGCAACGACGGCGGAAAAGTCTGCAAGAGACAACTGTATGACATAACAAAGAAACTCTCTCGAAATCACCACAAACCAGAACGACCAGTGAAAAGCAAGGAAGGCGAGGTAATCACCAACATTGAAGAGCAACGAAACAGGTGGGTAGAACACTTCAATGAACTCTTGAATCGACCATCCCCACTGAACCCACCCAATATTCAAGCAGCACACACGGACCTCCCAATCAATGTTGGTCCACCAACAATTGAAGAAATCAGTATGGCCATCAGGCAAATCAAGAGTGGCAAAGCAGCAGGACCAGACAACATTCCAGCAGAGGCATTAAAAGCAGACGTCGTGGTAACTGCAAGGATACTCCACATTCTCTTCAATAAGATTTGGGATGAAGAACAAGTACCAAAAGACTGGAAAGAAGGACTCCTGATCAAAATACCGAAGAAAGGCGATCTCAGCAAGTGTGATAACTACAGGGGCATCACTTTTCTCTCAATACCGGGAAAAGTCTTCAACAGGGTATTGCCAAACAGGATGAAGGACTGCGTTGACGTCCAACTTCGAGATCAACAGGCAGGATTCCGTAAGGATAGATCGTGTACAGACCAAATCGCAACTCTACGGATCATTGTGGAACAATCAATTGAATGGAATTCATCACTCTACATCAACCTCATTGACTATGAAAAAGCATTTGATAGCGTGGACAGAACAACAATATGGAAGCTTCTTCGACACTAAGGTGTGCCTCAGAAGATAGTCAATATCATACAGAGTTCATATGATGGATTAAACTGCAAAATCGTGCATGGAGGACAGTTGACACAGTCGTTCGAAGTAAAGACCGGTGTCAGGCAAGGTTGCTAATTCTCACCCTTTCTCTTTCCTCTGGTGATCGACTGGATCATGGAGACATCAACATCTGAAGGGAAGCACGGAATACAATGAACATCTAGGATGTAGTTGGAGGAACTAGACTTCGCAGATGATCTGGCCCTTCTATCCCAAACGCAACAACAAATGCAGGAGTAGACGACCAGTGTAGCAGCAGCCTCTGCAGCAGTAGGTCTCAACATACACAAAAGGAAAAGCAAGATTCTTCGATACAACACAGCATGCACCAATCCAATCACAATTGACGGAGGAGATTTGGAAGATGTAAAAACCTTTACATATCTGGGCAGTATCATTGATGAACAGGGTGAATCTGATGCAGATTTGAAGGTGCGGATCGGCAAAGCAAGAGCAGCGTATTTACAACTTCGAAACATCTGGAACTCAAAGCAACTGTCAACCAACACCAAGGTCACGATTTTCAATACAAATGTCAAGACGGTTCTACTGTATGGGGCAGAAACCTGGAGAACTACGAAAGCCATCATTCAGAAGATACAGGTGTTTATTAACAGTTGTCTACGCACAATACTTCGGATCCGTTGGCCAGACACTATTAGCAATAAACAACTGTTGGAGAGAACAAAGCAGATCCCAGAGGAGGAAGAAATCAGGAAGAAGCGTTGGAAGCATATATGACACAGATTGAGGAAGGCACTTAACTGCGTCACAAGACAAGCCCTCACCTGGAATCCTCAAGACCAAAGGAAAAGAGGAAGATTAAAGAACACATTACGCCGGGAAATGGAGATAGACATGAGAAAAATGAACAAGCATTGGATACAACTAGAAAAGAAGGCCAAGTACAGCGTGGGTTGGAGAATGCTGGTCAGCAGCCTATGCTCCATTAAGATTAACAAGCGTAAGTAAGCAAGAAACTTCCTCTGATTACTGAAAAGTATACACACCGCACTCACTTCATACCATCTTGTTGTGGATACCGATACATAAGTTGATTTCAAGGCGTAGTTTATTTGAATCTCATATAATACGATTTGTTGCTTCATAAAACTCATTTCTCATTTTATCTCTGATGTTTCGTAGGTCACGATACATCTCTCCATAGATTTACGGTATTTATGTAGCTGATTACTGATGTCTTTTAGTCCATGCAGACATATATGCGTGCGTGCATTTGTTGTAACTGTATTTCATATGTTGAGTTCTAGTAAGGCGATGTTCACGAATCCTCGTCACTTTCTCCTCGCATATGCAATGCACATGTGTATCTGCTTATGACTGAACCTTGAGATAGATAGATCGATTTGTGCGTGTTAATTCTCGTCATACAAAGTTGGTCAAATAAACCATCATTAAAGTAATAGGGAGAAATTCAGCTTACGATTCTCGATGACTTCATTTTCACCAGGATGATTGTCGAAGGCTTTAAAATAATAAATCGAAAAACGATAGGTTCATCAAAATGTCGACAAGATTTATTCATGCTATTCGTGGTTGGTCACTACTAATCATTGTCCACAAAAGCTCTAGACATTGACAGCGAAATGCTGTTTCAATTTTTCAAAACAAATCGAGTCGAAAGTTCGTCTGCAGTGAGAGAGACAATGTGAGTTGAGAAACGACACTCACATTGACTTCCACTTCTAATCTGACTTACGAATGACTTTCATTCACATTGATTAGAAATATTCTCACTCCCCTTAAATCAATATGTGAGCTTGATGTAAGCTTCCTCTATTATAAAGATTATTGGTGATTCCAGAAAGTGACTATCGAATGTGTGTCACCCTACTTGAAAGTGTTCTTGATACCTGCAATATAATAATTGAATGATGCTACACAGCACCTTTAAACATGACATAATTCGCCATGGAATTGTTGTGAATTTTATGCACACAGTTTTTGTCACAACCTTCTCATATGGACTTACTTGGTATATCTTGTTTTTGTTACCAGAGATTTACTGGATATTTGGATCCTCTCTCACATGTGAATGATTTGTGATAAACATCCTTGCACGTTTATCTACTTTTAAACCATAATTATTTGATCGGAAATAGCGATATATGTGTTGAGCCATTATCAAATTTTTGAGTCAAGTTGAGCTCGTTGAACTCAAATAAAAGTATTATCATAACTTACACATCTCGTCATATGCTGAGTCCACATCATCTTCATTAACAACTAGATAATTGATAAACGTAGACTTGTTAAGACTTTTCGAACGTGAATAAGATTTATTTGCTTGTTTTCTGCATATCGATAATTAGTAGCAAATCTCATTTGACACTCGTCATCCGGTAGTTTAAATAGTCAACCGATTTTGTTCGAGCAACCATTGGAGACCACTGAGCACAACACAGAGGCTTTGTTCTAGTAAGAGACTACTCAGAAGTGCACGCTTTTGACTCCAACGCGGATCCCACACGCGGATGTCACGTCGTTTATTGAGCTTATCGAACATTCAACACTATCCAATCTCAAATTGACTGATAAATTAATATTCTTCTTCAATAATAACGTGTGAGAGAAAGCAGAGTGTGTACATGTGCCATGTATAATTTTACGTCTTAAATCAACTCAGCCTTAATTACAGACAGAATAAAAAGGAAATGAAATCCAACTTACATTGACTTGATTTGCCCATACATTGTTGAATTTGAAAGTAAACTAACATTTGAGAGAAGGAAATTCATTAGATTCGTCGTAATGTAAATGATGTCATTCACACAAAAAAATTAGACTTACAAAAGTTATATATGACTGTACACATGTGTTGTATATGAACGTCTAAATCTATCAAAGGAAAACAATGATGTAAATTTTAAAAATGTGAATGGGAACAAAATGCATATTCGTTTCAAATTGATTTACTGAGATGAATTTCATCAGAAGCAATTATCGAAATGAAACACATTTAGCATAGATTGATTTTGTGCATCTACCAGCCAGAACGAATGCGTATACTATGTTCAGTTGACCAAGAATCATAGGCCTTCGTAATGAAATTATGCAAATTCTACATTATATAAAACAAAATTTTGCACTAAGTAAATTCTCTTATGACTTAAGCTACTGTATTGCATTTAGAATTTCCATGTAATGACCAATATTATTAATAATCATTACGCGCAAACATGTTCTTACATGAAAAGAACAAATTCACATAAAATTATCATCCCTGTCTGATAGTTGAAATCCTCGAGCATTCGCAATTCATGAGAAGGAGAATAAAATTCCATGAGAAATTAGGTTAAGTGATAAGAATAATGTGCCAATTTACTGGCAAAATGAATCAGTTCTGCAATCCAACTAGATCTGACAACATATGATATGATTTGCGTCATTGGGAATATTTATTCACGATTTCCAACTTCACATGGAATTGTGCTTCTTCAAGCAGTCATGGCTAACCTGCTACTTGATTTCAGAGAGGGCATGATGACACACATCAATTTTATACATGCTATACACGACCATTGAATCGCTCACAAATATTGTAAGCCATCTATCAATGTTCGGTGTCAAGTAAGTAGGATACTGATGAATGTTGACAGTATTTACATTATGAAAGTTCGTCTGATTCCCTTAAGAGGTTCATGAGTGAAATATTGTGAGAGTCGTTATCTATGTGCTCACTCCAAAGCTGTTTCATGTGTACACGTATATGTGACGCTGTCATATCCACTGTAATGGAATTCCTATTCATAAGTGAGGATGTGACAAAGCATGTAAATCGGTATTTAAAGTGAATTCCTGAAACATATATGGATGCCGCATTGTCTCCATCACAATCGTAGTCGTGTAGTTACAAGCGATATTCAAGTCATTATGCAATCAGTTATCAGAAAAAAGTAAAAACCATATAATCGCGACATTCGGTCAACATTCGCTTATCGGTAGAAATATCCACTGTACCATCTGGAACATTGTCATCTACAAATGTCGGAACAAACAACACTCAGTTCGTGTTCATTCTTGTTATCGCGTGTTTACGTCGAAAGCATTCACTTTACAACCATTTCGGTAGTTAAGTAGCAGACAACTGACGCATAATTACAATTCAATGCATCGAGAATAAACTTAAAAATCGGTAGATTTGTCCGGTTCATAACCAATTTTGCGGTTATCCATAAATTATATGAACTCTCATAACTTGCTGATCGTCGCCAATTTCTCAACAGCATCTCCATACATTATATCAATAAGCGTAGCCTACATTTGTCGGTTAACGAAGGCAAACATGTGGGAGTGTCAAGTACATAATTTACGGCGTTTAAGTGTCCATTTACCATATTACACAAAGCTTGAAATAAGTCATGATCTGTCACGTTTATAAGGTTATTACATTGCACTTTCTCTGCCTACTGAACAGTATACACAATACACTCACTTCATGCCATCCTGTTGTAGATACCGATACATAAGTTGATTTCAAGGCGTAGTTTATTTGAATCTCATATAATACGATTTGTTGCTTCATAAAACTCATTTCTCATTTTATCTCTGATGTTTCGTAGGTCACGATACATCTCTCCATAGATTTACGGTATTTATGTAGCTGATTACTGATGTCTTTTAGTCCATGCAGACATATATGCGTGCGTGCATTTGTTGTAACTGTATTTCATATGTTGAGTTCTAGTAAGGCGATGTTCACGAATCCTCGTCACTTTCTCCTCGCATATGCAATGCACATGTGTATCTGCTTATGACTGAACCTTGAGATAGATAGATCGATTTGTGCGTGTTAATTCTCGTCATACAAAGTTGGTCAAATAAACCATCATTAAAGTAATAGGGAGAAATTCAGCTTACGATTCTCGATGACTTCATTTTCACCAGGATGATTGTCGAAGGCTTTAAAATAATAAATCGAAAAACGATAGGTTCATCAAAATGTCGACAAGATTTATTCATGCTATTCGTGGTTGGTCACTACTAATCATTGTCCACAAAAGCTCTAGACATTGACAGCGAAATGCTGTTTCAATTTTTCAAAACAAATCGAGTCGAAAGTTCGTCTGCAGTGAGAGAGACAATGTGAGTTGAGAAACGACACTCACATTGACTTCCACTTCTAATCTGACTTACGAATGACTTTCATTCACATTGATTAGAAATATTCTCACTCCCCTTAAATCAATATGTGAGCTTGATGTAAGCTTCCTCTATTATAAAGATTATTGGTGATTCCAGAAAGTGACTATCGAATGTGTGTCACCCTACTTGAAAGTGTTCTTGATACCTGCAATATAATAATTGAATGATGCTACACAGCACCTTTAAACATGACATAATTCGCCATGGAATTGTTGTGAATTTATGCACACAGTTTTTGTCACAACCTTCTCATATGGACTTACTTGGTATATCTTGTTTTTGTTACCAGAGATTTACTGGATATTTGGATCCTCTCTCACATGTGAATGATTTGTGATAAACATCCTTGCACGTTTATCTACTTTTAAACCATAATTATTTGATCGGAAATAGCGATATATGTGTTGAGCCATTATCAAATTTTTGAGTCAAGTTGAGCTCGTTGAACTCAAATAAAAGTATTATCATAACTTACACATCTCGTCATATGCTGAGTCCACATCATCTTCATTAACAACTAGATAATTGATAAACGTAGACTTGTTAAGACTTTTCGAACGTGAATAAGATTTATTTGCTTGTTTTCTGCATATCGATAATTAGTAGCAAATCTCATTTGACACTCGTCATCCGGTAGTTTAAATAGTCAACCGATTTTGTTCGAGCAACCATTGGAGACCACTGAGCACAACACAGAGGCTTTGTTCTAGTAAGAGACTACTCAGAAGTGCACGCTTTTGACTCCAACGCGGATCCCACACGCGGATGTCACGTCGTTTATTGAGCTTATCGAACATTCAACACTATCCAATCTCAAATTGACTGATAAATTAATATTCTTCTTCAATAATAACGTGTGAGAGAAAGCAGAGTGTGTACATGTGCCATGTATAATTTTACGTCTTAAATCAACTCAGCCTTAATTACAGACAGAATAAAAAGGAAATGAAATCCAACTTACATTGACTGTTACTGCGCATGCAGTTATCTTCGTAGTATTGCACTAGAAAATACAATAATTTATGCTCATCAGTTTCATCGTATTTTGAACACCGTCATTAAATTTGAAGTCTTATGCTTACCGAGACTATCCTTTAATGAGCAGAGTTGTTCGATATCGTATTCTGAAAAATTGTAGGCGAATAGTGATTAGAGTTTTAATCGTAGAATTGGTGCAATGCGTATGTTTTATTCAGATTGATTTACTGCGATGAATCTCATCCCAGTCATTATGGAATCAGTTATTAGTAAAATGTAAAATCATATCATTGAGACATTCTCTCGACATTGGCTTACCGGAAGAAATGTCCATTTTATCACGTGGATCATTGTAATCTACAAAATTTGATATAAAGACATTTACTGCGTGCTCATGTACATTGGATGTCATCTTCGAAAGCTTATCATGGTAAGGTGCATAAAATTCATCAATAAAACAACGTGTGCTGTCAACTCAGTGTTATATATTGACTTGTCGAGAAATTCTCTATTCTCATTTGAAGCCTGTAATGCGTACTATTTGCCTATATATGACTAATAACGTACGTATCTGTGCACAAGGCACATTTAGAAAAAGGCCTTATCAACGAACGTCGTTGTTTTCTTATGTATGCTCTGAATCATTCTCAGTATTGACAAAAAACGATAAATCTTGAATAATCATTCAAATAATTTATCAGTGTAATGCACTGGTCGTTGCAAGCCATCTTTCATCATTCCTTCTACCTTATTCGATAAACAACGGAATACGCAATGTTCTCATACAAAAACCAATGCATATCTGGTTTTGATAGGAGCATTGTCTGAGCATTGTCAGACTCAGAACAAATTATATAGGTTATCGGGTGCTGTGTCTTCAACTGTCACCTACTCAAACTAATAACAACGTGAGAGAGATTAGTGTTCAATCACTGGTAGCGATCAATCACGTTTGACACATGTGACTAAATGGTCACAGACATATTGACCAAACCACGTTTATTTTCAAAATAGTTTGTGAAAACGTTCCTGTGTCAACGAATCAGTATTTCCAAGAATCAGAATTTATTCATCTTAACAAACCAATACACTGAATTCAGTTTACTGATTTCGTTACTTTCTCTGTTTCCTTCATCGTATTCATCATCTGAAAAGATCATTGGTAAAATGTACTAGATCAGTCACAGCCGGAAGACTTCTGCATATCTTGTAGAATTTCGTTTCAGTTGATTGAGTGGACTTAGACATCATATCGTTCGATATGTAGTTGTACTCAGAATATATTCCAACAGTAAAATTTCGTTGTTCATGACATGAGTATCAAATTATGCTTATTCAATTTGTACGAATATGCTTCAGCAGATATTCTCACATCTACCTATTATCATATATTCGTTTCTATTAGAATTACTTGGAAGAAACCAGGAAATGAGTAATTGTGAAATCTTCATACACGCCTTACATTCGCTCAACTTTCAATACAGAATGAATAGAAAGAACATAAAATCCTACTCAGGTTGATCAGAGTTGGTCGACACTACATTGAAGATAGTTGTAGCGAACTGAAAATTACAGTGAGAAAACTTGTCACATTTGCAAAATTATCAATGATGTCATTCATCGAATAGAATAATACTTACGGAAGTCGTTCATTCCTGGGTTTGTGTCACTTTCATCAGCAGCTAAATCATTCACAGAAAAAAGATTGTTCAAATGTGGTTACAATGTAAATGCCGTTGATTCTCACAATTGTTAAAAACTGATCTTTTGTGGTGAATTTCATCAGAAACCAATCGTTGAGATAGAACGCATTTAACATTATTCTGATTAATAAGTTTAATAGCGATGATGGACGTGAAGAATACATTCGTTTGACTGATGTAATTACATAATGAGAAACAAACATTCAAATGCTTTGAAAGAGTGTGGACGTTTTCTACTACATATCTACATTCGGTATTCAAATGTCTACCTCAATGGAAATGAGTTTGTCGAATTTATATTCTGATTTACAAATGTAAACATTCGTCAGTATTTTTAAGCTGTACATTACTGGAGAAATGTCTGTTCTTCTTTTCGCCTGGAATCGCGATGGTGGAAATTAACTAACGTTAGTTTTATCATGTTGTACAAATTCAATAGATCGGAATATCAAAACAACTCACAAACTTGAACTTACGTCTGTCGAAATGGCCTTTACGATAAGCATGAATGTCTAAAATATAAATGAAAAGATACCTTCTCAGATCATCACAATGAAAGTTTATGCAATCAGTTTCCTCAAAAACATGTTATGAATTAAGATTAACTAACTCAGTAACATGAAATCAATTCATTTTACTTTCTTTGCTGTAAATCACTCATTTACACACTGATTTGTACAAACAATAAAAACGCATAATTTGTAGGTATTTTTGTGACATGTGTGAGTGTCTTTTGGCTCACTAGTGGAAACTTAAGTTAACAATGACAATGATGATCATAATGATAAAATGGCTGAAAACGGTAATATGTGTAAAGTAATACGAATTGGTACTCTCCACCACGGGAACAAACGTCGTTTGGATGTTACACTGTATGTGCAATTGTAATAAATCAGATTTATTTGTACAAATGAGAAAGTGCAAATTTGAACTAGATTACACGAAGCGACACAAGTCTACTTCATCCAACAATGTTTTTCAACGTCATATGTTGAAAACTAAGAATTAACCCGTCAATAGACGAATTGAATGTGTTTCATTCAGTGCAACTTCATTGTCGACTATAATAATTGAGCCCACGTATACAACCATATTTGTAATGAAGTTTTACACGGACAAATCTTTAATAAAACAGATGGATATTATGCGACTTTGTAAGATTTTCATAAGTCTGTTTAACGCATTGGAGTATTAAAAATAAGTTGTACATTGATTTCAAATGTAATAGGAAGTCATCATTTATGAAAAGAAAATGTAGAGGAAGACTTATGTGCAATAGAACTAAATGAATCGTTAGCTAGTAAATTATGTTATATTTGATAAAGTTGAGGCGGTCAAACCCAAACATGGAATCAGTCCTTGAAGAGACTAACTTCCAGATCGAGCCGTGTTGGTAGACGCAGACTCCTGTGTTGAGGTCCACGAAATGATCGCAACCAATGCTTCGAGACTCTAAGTGACATGAATTAAAATAGATTACAATAGCGTAGATGTGTACACACTTTATCTTCCCTTAAACTATGAGATTACAATTGCTTTACGCCTTTCTTTCTACGAACTAATTTTTTTCTGTATTATATCCTTATGCAAAATCTTAGTTTTATGTATTACTAACATTGAAGTGAATTACTATGAATCTGATGTTCATATTGTTGTGCTAACAAGGTCTGACAACTTGGACCGATGCTGAGTGACTGACGAAAAATTTAAATATTTACTAAGATCTTGATAAACATGAGATAACATATATCGCTTTCAAGCAAAGAATTAGAATCAACAAGAGCCTTTCGATGAACATACACCTCTTTCAAAATATTTATTTTATCCATTATTATTTTGCTACTTATATTTATTGATCGTTTGTTGGGCTTACTGAAGGGTGTTATACGCTTCATTTGTTTTTTGGACTACTGTCTGTGAATATTTCAACTACAAATACAATAATACTTCGTTAATATGAAACGTCTCTCCACTGAACTATAATAATCAAAGTTAAATTCATTCGGCTATTAACAGCCGATTGAGGTATACTGACAATTCTTCACACAGTTTATATTTGTGAACACGAGTACAATTTCTTCATTCTTGTGTTCCCAAATACGAACGGTAAGCGATAATGTTATGATATTCCAATATACCATTTCTTAAGACAACTGCATGTGACATCGTTTAAACCTAAACAATTTCTACGATATTTGAGAGCTTCCAGTTTTATCGAAACCCAGTCTTCCGTATTTTGTATTCTTACGTTTAAACGTCATATGATTTCATGTTGAAATTTCAACGATACATTGAAAGTTTTCCTCATTTGTTAAATTGTGCATATCCTTCATATGTCCCCACTATGTGAGAATAGATTCATAACGCTTGTTTGCTGACCACATATACCAACACATAACTTTTGTGAGTTGGTTGGAGATTAGGTGTTAGATAATCTTACATCACCTGAGTTTCACAAAGTTAGCACTGGTTTGACAGAAGTAAATGTAGTCTATAGAGAACTACTGATCAATGGTGAATTCGACCCAGCACTACACTACATCAATAGTTAATCAGTTACTTGTATTTGAAAAAAAATATTTAACCATGAAATTACATACATTAACAAGCAACACTTACCGGTAATACTGGCAGTAACCACAATGGCTAAAAGCAAATGTAAAGGATTCGCATTCATTTTACTCGGTCTGTGTCGTTCTGTAACATTGAAATTCTGTGTGTGTATATATACCTTTTACTCTGGTTAAATGGAATGTAAAATTCACTTAATCAGAAAACGATTCGTTGAATACTTCTGAATGTGTGTGTATATGGTGTGTTTGTATGTGTCTCTGTTCCAATAAGAATACATCCAGGTGTGAATGCCTATAACTTTTAATTGATTACAGAAAATATTTCTTCTAACACATCAAAACTCATAGTTGAATTACATACCAGTATTACATGCCAATTGCATGCCAAATATAATTTTTACCAACGACGTATTTTGAATTTAAGTTGTACTGAGAACGGTTTTGACATCATATTATATTAGATCTTGATCCTACTAGTAATGATTCGGATGAAGGTGAATGATCCAGTTCCTCTTCATTTTTATACTGATAAGACCGCTTATTGTGAGAACCACAAGAAATAGGTTTCCACAAAGAAACTCCTTGTACACAGTAATGAATATAACATCGATTAAGATATCAATCATGTTAAAATAAAAATAGTTTAATGATGCCCAACAATTTGTTATAATGATTACTCTAATAAACGTCCGTATCAAAGGGCTTACATTTTTGACTATACTAACATTGAGCACATATGAACCAACAATCCACAGAATTTCGGAAATCCAAGTTAGGCGATTATTATTTCAAATGTAAATCACTGAGTCAATATATCAAAGTCTGGAATATGTAATAATGTAATTATTTCTTCAGAAATCGTATCTAAATAAGCATCCTAATCAATTCCGTTTAAAAAAAATACTGCATATAAAGTTCTTCATTCTTCAATTTTGCCTTAACATTATACAATTTACTCAATATACATCACTACAATGTTTATAATTTCAGATTTCAGTATAAACAAGACACAAATTTAATTAACTTACCTAGTAAACAAATGTTATTCACGTTCTTTAAGGACCATGAAATAAGGTCATTTTAATCTGAACCTATAAAATTAGTGTAAAATACTCTACAGTTTGATGCGAATGTGTCTATCTGTGGGTGCAGAACTTGTTATCGAAACTCGAATCCACACATTTCAATTCAAACCTTCCTAAAAAGATCAAACTTTGATTTCCAGTTTCCATTTCGATCACAATGCGACTTTACGGCAAGTACATGTGTGAATATGTACATATCGAGTCACTGATGCACACTGAACCAAATGCTTAGAATGATGTTCAAAGCAGATCGAGAGTATCAGCAACGAGGTGATACAAGTGTTTTCTGACAATTCCCAGTTATCAATTTTCCTGAAAATGTTTCTCAACACTGCTTTTATAAGTAAATTGTATGAGTCACACTGAAATCAATTGTGTAGGCTGCACATTACGAACTCACTGATGAAAACATCAGCATTCTGAATTATTAGTTATAATTATTCTGTTTTCAGTTGATTCTTTGTCATTTCATATTTGATGACTTCGTTTGATTCCTGGTCATCAGATTAGAGTATATACCACTAGCACTATCGGTACAGTACCATCTGAGAAGTTCAAATCTGAGGGTCAGTAATGCTTTTGTCCTCATGCAGTCTCCACCCCGTTCTGCAAACACGTAGTGATGTCTTTGTAATAAGGCGTTCTCCTCGTCCCTGTTTATTGGGTTCTCGGTTCTGATCCGCATGTAAATTTTTAATCGAATAGTCTGATCATTTTGGTGTTTCCACCAGATATAATCACAGTAAATTGAGTCCTGAATAGTCTGTAAGGTATAATGTTTTGTTCGTAGTTGTATTCCCCTTGGAAACAGTGCAAGATGCTTCCATAATGAATGTTCAACTTTCTAACACAAGCTCTGTGTGCTAGTCAAGTTGTTGTGCAAACTAGAGGTCTCTAAATATTCTTCTTAGTTTTTGAGCTGATGAGAGCTATGACAATCGCTATATCGAGTTGAAGACAAATACGTCTTACGAAGTTGTTCATTGTTTAATTCTGCCTAACAACATACAATTTAAACATTATACAAAAATTTAATGTTTATAATTTAGTTAACAATATACAACCGTTTATAAAACCTCTTCAGTCATTTTAAAAATGAATTGACCTTTACCATTCTTGACAAACGGATCATCTATTGGAATATATTACTGTGTAAGATTTGTTGTGAGAATTTGTTTGGAAACTTCCTTTCTTTTTTCATCTGTGTATCTGTTGTCATATACCAGGGTAGTCTTATAATCACGTTTTCTGCCGTTAATGAGTTTAGACCAGGATTAATTAAACAGTTAGAGAATACATTATGCCATTAAATCACCGTATGTCAAAGTAAGAAAGAACAAAATATGTGTCGTAATTGATATGACCTAAGTTCATAATAAATAAAAACACCGTTTTACATTCTTATGTAAATAAACAAGAAATATGAGGTAACTAATGATCACTTCTAAAATTAACTTGAATATTAGAATGAATTGAAGGAAGTTAGTGTTGGCCGACTGTGGAACACACTTTCACAAAT